AAGCAAACCCTCCCCCAGCGACCGAACATGATGCACCAGACAGCGAGAATCGCTGCCATCTCTTACGCAAAAAAAAATTATTTTGTACGTGTCCGATCGGTCCTATGGAAAAGTGCCGAGTGTGATTGTGAAGTCTGGGGTAAACCGTTTAATACTCTTATTGATACCGGATCATCGACCGTTGCCATATCCCTGGACACAGTCAGAAAAACGGGCCGACTGAACTCGATCCTTCCGCTACCTGGGAAGGACAACTACGTCCCGGCCGATGAAGAAGCCATGAACATAGTAGGGATCATTGAGAACGTAGCTGTCAAAGTGGGTCGGGTGCACGTTCTGGTTAACGCGTTAGTCATCGATGTGCACTCTTATCCGGTACTGTTGGGATTGCCTTGGGCGATGGCGGTAGGTGCGCGAATACACTTCGATTATAAACAGCTTGTCCTCACGTATACTGGAGGAAGGCCTCAAACGCCGCCGTTACAGGTTTTTACTCGATCACCGAGAAGGAATCCTAGTATTGTCCAGATAGGAATGATCCAAGTCCTGACCTCGAAAAATTCACCCTCAAACGATGATGATGGCGAGTACGACGAACGCGATTACGAGGAAGAGTTGAACTACATGCCTAGCGAAAAAGAATGGGATCAATTAGTTGAAATGTCCGGTTGTGAAGCGAAAGAGGAATTTCGAATGATCCCAGCGACCAGCCAAACATTTGATATGAACTCACGAAGTGGCGAGCCTAGCCATACCCTGTCGTCATTCTTTCCCGCATCTACGGAAAGGTGAATTCCCGCCACGTCATTCCTAGGAGAACCAATCTTGCAGATTTCAGATATGGCTGACCTCTTGGAACCCCCTCGCACTTTGTATGAGGGCGCGCTCTCACTCCGAGCTAGGTATCAGCAGATGAATCAATACCTGGATCTTTTTGTCTCTCCACCCAGATCATTACTCACGCAGGGAGCCATGATCGCCCTAATCAAGCAAGAAGCAGAGGCCCCGATAGATGATGTTTCGGATCTTATGCAAGAAATAGCCAAGTTAATAGGATTGGAAGTAGTGGAAAACACGACTGATTCTGAAACCGATGTCGAAACTAAGGAAACTGAGATTATTAGTCCGGCCAAATCACATATGATTGCCACCGTCTTCTCGGTCCGGACCAGTAGCTCCATGTTCTCGAGCGTGAAAGACAGACGATCGCGGAGGATGGATTGGATCGATATGCCACTTGACATCTCTGATCACCCCGTAATCACAATACCCAATCCTGTCCCCCGAGAGATCCGAAGATCCCTGATTGACGTTTTGCATGGGTATGCTGAGGTGCTGAGTGTGCATGATAACAATATTGGATTATCTAACGTGATTGAGCATGCAATACTCACAGGGGATCATCCACCTATTGGTTTCACTCCTTATCGGTATTCGTCGGTGCAGAGATCGGCCGCGTTCCAAAGGATAAAGGAGTTCGAAGCTAATGGGTGGATCGAACCGGCCATCGGACCATCGTCGTTTCCAGTGGTGATTGTACCAAAGTAGGCAGGGGGAATTCGCATATGCATCGATTGTCGAAAGTTGAATAACATCACGATTAAGGATGTGTATCCCCTCTCCCGGATCGATGAGTTACTGGATGCTATTGGTAGTGCTCGGTTTTTCAACAAGTTTGATGTTCGCCATGGATTCCACCATCTCCTTGTTCGAAAAGAGGATCGCCGAAAACGGCTTTCATTCTTTTCGAAGGGACTTGGCAATGGGTTCGATGCCCGACGGGGATTTGCAACGCCCCGACCACGTTTCAGCATGCGATGAACCTGGCTTTCCAGAACTTCGTGAGAAAAAGGCGGCTGGCGCAGAGCATAATCAATTATTGTGTGATTGTCTATATGGATGATATCCTTGTATATTCAAGTTCCTATGAGGGGCACGTGCAGCACATCGAATGAACTTTGCACGCGTTGAAGGACGCTGGATTCAAGGTGGCAATTGAGAAGTGTCAGTTTTTCCTCACCGAGATCTCCTTCCTCGGCCACGTGGTTACAGACAAAGGGTTGCAGTCGGAGCCTCAGAAGGTAGCAACCGTGAAAAACACGCCAGTACCTATGTCCATGACACAGGTGTGTGCCTTTTTGGGTTTGGCGTTGTACTATCGAAGGTTCATCAAGGGGTTTGCGGCAATCGCGGGACCACTCACGAATTAAATTTTGTTGAAAAAATATCAGCCGTTGATATGGACCTCACAATGCGATCGGGCTTTCTCAGAACTCAAGGCGGCCTTGATTTCGGCTCCGGTCCTTATAAGACCGGACTCGGAAAAGCCCTTTGTCCTCATCACCGATTGGCAGCCCGAGGCGATCTCAACGATCTTGGCCCAGGTGGGACCAGACGGCCTCAAACACGTGGTGGAATACGCGTCCAAATCAGTGCCTGCCTGTAAGCGCAACTGCTCTTCTCCGACAGGGGAATGCGGGGATCAGTCACTTCCGAGCATACTTATATGGTCGGAAGTTCACGTTGGTGACTGATCACAAATCGTTGCTGGCATTGAAGAAGTCCAAGGATTACTCGGGTATAATTGGGCGATGGGCTACCACGTTGCAGAGCATGGACTTTGACATTCGTCATCGAAAGCACGAGAGATACGGCAACGCGGACGGGCTGACACGACTCCACCGCCCCGACAAGGTACCCAGAAGTGAGGAAGTGATTCTGTGGCACGACCAGGAGCCAAAGAACGAGCCTCAGTATGGATAAGTGGAGATCCTGCCGAAGGGCTAAGTGGACACGTGCACCCAATCCTGTCTCCCTCCCTCTCCTTCTTTTTCTCTGTCCCTCTCAGAATAATGGAAACCCTATCTTCTTCTGCCTCTCCCACCTCTTCCACTCCCCTCGCTCATTCGGACTTTCTCGCCAATCTCCCAAACAAATTTTGTTATTTTTGTACGTGTATTGCCCGAGTTTTTGGGGTAGACTGCTATCCCTTTGAGTCTGGATTTACTGACTAGGTAGAATGCGCCACGTGTGTCAATCGTGTATATGGCGCGTGTGTTCGATACAAAACAAGTAGTAAGGAATGGAGATGCCCCCTCTGTAGAATAGACAAACTTCCTACGGAGGTTCGATTCGAGGCCCCCCGAACGGACGACCCTGAATATGACATGAAGTACCGATGGGCGGAAGTATGGACGGGTAAAATATTACTAGCTAAATTAGCTGGCCAACCATTGGACCATCTCACTAAGCACGAAAGGCGTCGGGCCACTGAGAGGTCATAAGATTATCGATGGATCAACGGTCATTTGGAGAAGTGTAAAACAAACGGATCGGGATTATGGTTGATGGTTCCCCACTCATTCCAACGATATGACTGGACGAGATCGGCGCACGAGGAACAGGCCGCTCATTTCGCAATACGTGTCACTGAAGCAACTATCGATCAAAATCGATGGTTCTGGTCTAATATCCGGGATGATGTAAAGCACGTGGTTGCTAACTGTCTAGTCTGTACGGCCGACCGTGCGCCCATCCGCGGGCCGAATACGATAGTCCTGACGGAGGTAGAACGCCCTTTCCTGCAAGTCAGTATGGACACGACAGATATCGACATGCCACCTGGCCCCGACCGTTGTGAATATTCCATTCTTTTGGTGTTAATAAACCATTTCTCAAAACATATCCGAGTCTACCCTTGTAAGAGCCGTAAAGCATCAGAGATAGCTACATACATCGATTGATTCCTCAATACCCATCAAGATACAAAAGAAATTCTAACCGATAATGGGTTGGAATTCAAAGCTGAGGTAGAGGAATTACTGATGCGTCGTGGCGTTACTCTCCGACACACCGCTCCCGATGTTTCCCAGTCGAACAGGTTGGGCAAAAATGCGAACCGCATGATTAAGACTAAGGGGGCAAGGACACGCGTGCGGCCCTTAAGGCCAAAGCCAAGCGGTATGCAGATTTAATGGAAAGGGTCATCCCTAAACTAGCCCGGAAAAGACAGAAAATGACCGAACTCGCCCACGGTAGACAGATCCGTAGTAACGAGGCCCGCAATGGGAATGCAAGCCCACAACACCAATACAAGCTAGGGGACCTGGTGCAGGTACGCAAATGTGCACGCGACCACAAACTCGCTCTCAAATTCTTTGGCTGTTTTCGCGTCGTAGGACTCGGTCCTAACGGAGCCAACACAGTGCGCATTGCACCTGAGGCCAGCGCTAGTCATAGCTCTCTCCCCATTGTCCTCCATACCTCCTACCTTCGTCCCCTCCCTCCTTCTAAGAACCCTAATCCCTCTTCCTCTTCTTCCTCCAGCGCAGACGAGGAACCTGCTTCCCTTCCTTCGTCTAATTCTACCTCCCCTTCACCTTCGCCATGAGTTTTGTCATTGAGCCGGCTCTTCCACCCCAGCTTCTTCAACCTCGAGCCTTGCTGCAGTTTCGCCAAGTCGCTCACCCTCGTCTCTGTCCTGATCCTCTCCAATTTGCGCAGCTCTTCAGTCACAGAGTCTGGTGCACCGCCGTAGAGATAACAATATCGTCCGATCAAGGTTCAGCAGTCATCTTGGCAGAAGCGTCAGAATTTGAACGCTTCTCACGGCCTACTCAGAGCGACGTGACAATGATCATGGCTTTCAGTGGCGACCTGTGTACCATCGGCGTGCAGCGGCGCGATGCAGTGGTGACCAATCTTTACGAGTGGAGGCAGGCGTTGGTGGATGATTGGCGGCAGCGACTGGCTCATCCCAGGCGACAGGTGGTGGGGACAGAGTGTATTGACACCTTTTCTCTTTGAACTAGCGCCACCGATCGCCCGCTCGCCCACTTCCCCATCTTCATCCCTACCCCGAACGTCGATGAATCGCTTCTCTACCTTCTCTCTCCCCTCCGACCTTCCAACCATCTGGCCATCTTGGGCCGATCCCCTTCTCACTCTGGAAATTTGTCCCGCTTCGATCCCTCCATTTAGCCCGGCCTACATCCGTAAGTGGACTGAATTTGTGGCCGTCAGTGTGTACATGCTCACGGTGAACTGCCACTGGTCGCGATATTACAACAATCGGGAGTTGGAGCACTATAACGAGATATCGCTGGTGCTGGCGCAGCTGTGGCTAGAGGAGGTGGCAACTGGCGGCACATTGGTAGGACTTCTGTGCGGAGAAATCGCCAAGGGCGGTCAAGCAACCGTCGCCTACGAACTTCTCACGTTCCTGTCTCAACTCGTCGACGATCTGTCGACAGACATCATGTCCTTCAATCTGAGCGATCCAAGCCAGGTTGAGCCCGTGACCTTGGAGAGGAAGTTGACACCAACCGTAATCTGGGCGAACTGCACAGAGGACTTTCGGCAGTACTTGAGCGATCACGACCCCACGACTTGGTGCTTCCTGGACCTTAACGAACTCGCGCCGGATAACTCCGACTTCGACGAGTTCTGGAAGGCTCATCAGGAGAACGGGGAAGTACCGTCAGACGGCGACCCAAGTCGCATAGCCATCGCAGGGCTATCAGAGGAAGAAAAGTCGAAAACCCGGTCGACTTCGAAAGAGGAAGAAGAGGCGTCTGCACCTGAGCCTCGGGAGGCTCCACCAGCTCGAGCATTACCAGCCGATCGGGGAAGATCCGCTTTGAATCTCGAAGTTCCCTCGGACGCCGCCATTCGACACTATGGCGCAGCAACCTCCCGCCGGCGCCACCGTTCCCACTCACCATCTTCCTCGACCGCCCCCTCCGCACTTCGTTCCCGTCCTCCTCCCGGCCCGGATGTTCCGTCCTTGTCCCGTTTTCCTCCGCCCCCTTGATTACCTTTCTTTCTCCCCGCTCCCCCACATTGAATTCCCCCTAAATTACCGTAGCTTCGCTAACCAACTATTTTGTCATCATTTCGCCGCCCGACTTCTATATACAGTCTTTCCCCATCGTTCTCCCTCCTTCCCTCTTAACATCCTCCTTTTCAGCGTTGCATGGAGACAATACAACCATATGGAGTTGTATTGTATTATCTCTGGAACCTTTCCCACTGTAGAGGATTATGAGTCCCTACGGGACAATGTCCTCTATACCATCCCCTCTTTATACCTCGACTATATCCTATCCTTGTCCCGACCCATTTTTTATTCCCCCACGCGCACCGGATCGTCCACTTCGTCGACCTTAGTGACGAAGCGGCGGATTACTTCCTTCCGCTCCCACCTGAATGTCCACGGCCCCTCCACAACCCCCTCCTTGTTGACTACCGCCGGGCGAACTTTCAATGAGACAACCGCATCAGTGAAGGGCACGGTGGACCATGATGGCGTCACCTGGAATCAAAAGAGTGTTCATGACAAGATTGGACATGAGGGGTACTAGCAGCACAAGCCAACAGACTCGCGAAGATATTGCAATTGACGTTGGAGTCAACATGAACTCTGGCTCAATCGACTGCTCTAATGAAGACGATCTCCCTCCTGATACGCTGGGTTCCTCATTCATCCTCTCGCCCCCTTTCTTCCTCCTCCGCCATGTAAACCAACTTTTCTGCATGCAATCAGGAGATCGCATAATTTTGGAACCCCTTGAGCGTCACATATGTGACGAACCAGCTTTTGAGCCCCCGCGCCATCTTCAGCACCCCTTCTCTCTCTTTCTCTTTTCGAATTTTGCTCGGCCCAACAAGGCCCCTCTCTGTTTTTGATTAGAAGTGCCTTGCTGAGACCCGTGTTGATTCTTGAAATTTTGCTTTCATAATTTGGGAAATGCATGGGAATTGCGCACGCTCTAGTAAGCGCGCTAGGAATTTGGCACGACAATCAGAAATTCTGAAATAAACAGAACCCCGACGTGTCCCTTTCATGCATGAATGTTCTTGACTACGTCGCGGGATCTTTAACCGAGAATACCCTGTGCATGACATCTGCCTTATGCTACACGACATCTGCAACTTACCCTCGCTACGCAAAATCCGAGAGGCGGTCTATCTTCAAAGAAAAGAAACAAAGGCGCCACGTACGACCTGCATGCGTGGATCAATTGCCGCGTCTCACCGAATGTGAGTTTTGTTCCCACGGTTTCTTTGTGAAGACTTCCTGGCGAGACCGTCCATCATCGCGAATATCCTCTCCCTCTACCCGATCTGTTTCTAAGAAAATGGAGGAGTGATCTCACCTTGCGTCGTATGACTAAGGTGAATAAAAGCTATCGAAGGGAAAACCCGATCGACAGGTTGTGTACTTTTTACGATTGTCAGACTAATGGTGAATGATTGAGACTAACCTTTGCGAATAATTGAATTGCCATGTGGACTGACGGCCTCAGTCCGACTAGGCGTCGGCCTCCCGTATCCCCGCCACGTCCCTTCCCCTACAACGAGAAGAGGGCACGTGTATGCGAGTGGGACGTACGAGAAGTCGTCGCCAAGATCGGCGGCCGATACTATTTCCCTCCCGAAACTCGGTGCTCAGGGTTCGTTGGCGCTGGTTTTATCATTGTTGATAGACATTTTCCGTCTTATCCATTGTTGTTGCCGTTTAATGAGTTGATCTTCATTCTGTGGCTGGCAGTGGCACCCCATTGGCCTAACACTCTGTGCAGCGATTGTTGTCGCTTCGAGCGTTACCAATCAAAAGGCTTTCACTACCGAGTACGGGGTGAGGACGAACATAAGGAAAGAGCCACGCGGCTGAGACCCTCCACGTCAGATTCTGAGTTATGCAATGAGCGGGATTCGATCCGGAAACGGGACACCAAGTGCGTACCCGCCCCCTTTCACGCAAAGTGAAGAGCAACGGCCCGATGGAACGTTCAATGATACTTTTCGGATTGAACTTCCCCGCGCCGTGCGTCCCGCGTGCGCCTTTTTCTCCCTCAAAACCCGCACAGTGACGGATCCTCCCCCTTCTTACTAAGTCGGACTGGCATAGGGGATTTCGGTTTTATCCATGTCCCCACACTCAACTTTTCAAAAATCCTTGACACACCCCATCTCGCTGCCTTTGTGGGCCCCCTTCTGCAATTTAAACACTCCGAACGAAAGCCAGTGCAGAGCGTGAGGTTGAGCGTCACAGAAAAGGGGGCAAAAAGATGAGAAACGGCCACATATGTGGCCGTGGTAGGTGACTAGTTGTGTGTGTATATGTGTGCCGCGTCTATTCGATTTTTGAACAGGCTGCAACATTTTGGCTGGGTACAACCATTTCATGAAGCATGTGGTTTGGGAAAAAGACCAGATGCTTCTGGAATTAGCAGACCTTGGTTCCCCTGGGGGAACACCAAGGTTTGTGGCCCTTGATCGTGGGCTTAGAGCAAGGGTCCAGACCAATTTCAAATTTTTGATTATGGGTAAAGTTGTTGCCCACAGTCCTTTAGTTGGCTATAAAAGTCAGCTCACCACCCAGTAGCCTCACAATTGTGGCAGTGTTGTTGGGATGTTCACTTATGTAAATGCTGGTTGGCTGCTGCTGGAGGGGAGAGGCTATTAGTGGAGTGGTAGTCTGTTGTGTGGAGGTGTCGGAGGTCTGTAGGAGCACTAGAGAAGGGCCGCCATAGCCGAGGCTGGGAGCTCACTGCCCCACCTCTGCATTGGTGTTGCGGCCTTCAGGCTGCGTTGGGGTCCACGTGCGGCAAATGGCACCCATTTTTGTGAGGTTATGCCGTGGAGAATTTGGCACGACGACAACATGGTGGGGAGATGTTGCCGGATTGCCACAGCGGCGACGCCAACGTAGTCATTTGGTGGGACCTTGCAACTGAATTTTGTTTTTGGTGCAGGGACAATTTTATTTTGAAGGGAAGTGTTATTAAAATTTTGCAGTACAGTGGGCGCTCCTGTTGTGGTGTGTGAGCAGGCGGCGGTGCTGCTAGACGACCGTGGTACTAGTTTTGGTGATACGGCGAGCGGTAATCCCGTCGTTATTTTTTTTGTGATACAAAACGGTTGTGACAAATTTCAGTGTGGTCTAAAGGTTGGGCTAGTGCTGGTGCACGGTTGGGATCATGCAGCAGTGGTGCGTGGACCAGCGGCATGAAGAGAGTGTGGAGTGAGTGCACGTGGCAGTGGATGTTGGGAGTTGCGGCACTAGCAGTTTCTGTCAGCAGCCACCTTTATTGTTTTTGTGACACACGGTGCAAGCGGTATTGAGTTTGGGACAATTCGGTCTTGCAGCGGTAACATGGGACCGACTGGGACCATTTTGGGACCAGGTGAGACTGATTTTGAGAACAGGACATGCATGTTGGTCTGACTATTGTGAGTGGACGTGGTGATTTGAGGCAAACTGGAATGGCGGTTGATTGAGACTATCCTTAGGGACCTCGTGTCGTTGGAATTGCAATTGGGACTGCATTGAGATTGTCTAGGGTATTTGGGACAATGCGGGACTTATTTTTGGGAGCACCTTGCTCGTGCTCTTGTATGAGACTGTACTGATTTTTTTGCACTTGTTTCCTTTTCGTTCTGTGCAGGTAGGTAAAAAAATATGCTTAAAAAAAAGATTGATTTTGACTATTGGAGACAAGGAAAAGGATTGTCTTCGTCTTACTTCTCACCTGTCTGCATGTTAAAAATGACTTGTTGTTTTGAGAAAATTTGATTTAGTGCATAGTAGAAGGAATTCGATTCAAATAAAGCAGACAAGGTTACAAGGACTTGGTCTTCTCCTGAGGAATTACACTCTCTATCCCTAATGACCTTTTAAGTTATTTATTTGTACCTGACCAAATGATTCTCATTTTCTATCACCTCTGAGAAAAAAACGAGAACCAATAAAATCTGCTTGCGGTGGATGCTTTCTTTCTTTCAAGGAAGCATCTGGGGCGGGGGTTCGTTGCTTTAGGAACCGACCCTGTTATCGACTCAGAGTGGACCGTTCTACGGGGGAGTACTCTGCCGATTCGGTGGAGACGGCCCCACTTCTAAGATCCGAGTCTTGTGCTTGGGCGAGAAGGAGGAACACCCCAAACCACTTCCTAGAGGATGAGACATGCAACATTTCAAGTAATGCACCTAATCAAGAATTATTTGCAAAGCATCCTGTCATTTAATAAGATTAAAAATGTATGAAGACGGGTATGCGTGTCTAATCTTAGGTCATTGGTAGGACGGAATGAATAACTTTAGCGACATGTCTCATCAAGTCAAAACTGAGGCAGTCGGACTACCTTGTCAGTTGCAACAAGGTTGTTGTCGGAGTCAACTCCTCGTTGGCGGCTGTATGATTTTATTTATGGAATTCGATCCGCGGTGGCCGGATTTTATTTTGGTATTGTGTTATTGAATGTATCAAATGATGATTTTGATTTTACCGGTTGTCATCACAGATTAGATATATTTTTGTCGACTACGGTCGACTTCTTTTGAAGTAACCGAGTGCGGTTGTTATTACTTTCGTTTGACTGTGCGTTGAGGGACTAAGATAAATTTTGGTTTTCGCGCTTGGTTGAGATCGTCTTAGTCGAACGGCGTCCGCTTCGTACTTAGGAGATCAGCGTCCTGAGGAATTGACAACGCTCAGGTTCACTCAGCGTTAACCAAAAGTATCTATACTTCAGTGAATGAGTAAACACCCTCGGCTGACCTACCTCTATGATTGCATACAAAAGCTTTCGCACGTGGGTCAGTAGCTCGGTAGGGATACACCCCTAAGGGTGGTGACAGGTTGACAGCCCCTTAGGGAAGGCAAGTGCTCGGGAGAACCTATCCTGTCGTAGGGGATCGTAGGAGGTACAATTGGTGCACCCGGCTAGAGCGACGAAAGGACGATGAGACCACGCCCGCCTTGGCAGTTCGCGGGGTTATTCTGTGTCGTTCTCAAGTTGTCTCTTGATTTATTTTGTTTGACTCCAGCGTGACACGGTCAGGAGGGATCTCGCCTTTTGTGAAAATGGCGGGAGTCGATGCGCTTGACAGCGGATCGTAATTGGTTTGTTCGTTTGGATGGGTAATTGCTCATTGGTTTGGATTTTCCTTTAAGATAACCGGGTTTCTGTTGCGCAACTAGTAGTTTGGGTGTGTTTTTGTTGTTATTTTTTTGTCTAGTAGAAGCGCTCCAATGGACTGCTGTTAGTTAGGAGGTTAATTTCGTATTGGCTTGGATGGGTAATTGCCCGCTGGTTGATTGGTGCTAATCTGGAGTCCGTTTAACCTTCTTGGAATGGGTGATAGTAATCAGGGTTTGGTTCATGATGCTGGTCCTGGTAGAGTTTCCGTGGTGTTGTTTTGAATACGTGAAATTGGGAACTGGCTTCTGTGGGTGTCTATTTAGCTAGGTTTTGTGCATACTGGCCACTTCTTTTACGATTGAAAGCTTAATTAGGATTGTAGAACCGATGGATAGGTGGGACTTGCTTCAATACTTCATTGCCTTTAAATGAGGGTATGTTTGCGCTTTAGTGATACTTTAGGGTAGTGTGGTTTTTGAGGTTTGTTGTTGACGGTAACTGGTTAGGGCCTGAGAAATTTTTGATTGAACAAGTTGGCTGCGGTCGGGGATGGGATTGGTCGGTAGTGCTTTTCTCAGCCCCCTATAATTGGGACGCCGGACTCGTTTTCTGGTATATGTAAGGATTACTGTGTTCTTAAAAAAAAAAAAAAAACTCACGGAAAAAGTTTCAAAAAATAATAAAATTGTTTAGGCCCTGAAATAAAGTGAAAACAAAAAAGTAAAAAGTAAAAAAAAAAAAAAATAGTGAGTGGGCGAGCACGTTTTGACACCTCCAACTTTGGAGATTTTGAATGTTTTTTGGCTCAGCAAAATGACTTCACAATTTATAGGCATGTACCTCACATCATAGAGAACGCACAAAAAAAAGATTCAGAAAACCGAAATAATTTTTGGTGGGGGCCGAACCCCTTCACGTTCGGACCCCGAGCGCCCGAACGTACGGAGGTCCGTCCAGGGGCCTCCGTACGTACGGGCTGGTAACCCTGTATATATATATCGTCAAATAGAACTGCCCGGTAAACCGTAGGCAGAGAGGGAGAAGAGGACAACAAACGA